CATCCATTTTCTAGGTCAGAGTTGAAAGGGAAGCCGTTGCGTTGTTTCGACGTCGAGAGCAAATTAAGTAATGGGTATCTTGACCCTACGCACGACACAATGATTCCGTGGTGCGGTTGCTAAGCTATTTCCTTCGGCGTACGGCGTCGTGGGTTCGATTTCTACATGGGACAAGTATTTGTGTCCCACAGATAATTGTTTCGGTACTGGGTGTTTGTATCCCGAGGAGGGTTGACGTCAGGCAGGTGACCGGTCGTAAAAAGCAAAGCCTAAATCGAACAACATAATTCACATGTTGTGTCGACCCAACTAGGGATAAGGGCAGGGGGATGATGATGATATCTTGACCGTACGTTGTCATTACACTAAAATTTTTAGGGTTCTGTACACAAAGGGTTAAACAGAACCCTATTACTAAGAATCCGCTGTCTGTCTATCTGAACGTCTGTCATCAGGCTGTATCTCATGAACCGTGATAGTTAGACGGTTGAAATTTTCACAGATGATGTATTTATATTGGCGATATAACAATAAATACTAAAAAAACAGAATTAAAAGTATGTAAGTGGGGCTCCCATACATTATATTAAGGTTTTATATATATCCCATTTCATTTATTAAAGTTTTTAAAGATAATAATGTACGGTACCCTTCGGGCCGCGAATTCGACTCGCACTTGGCCGGTATTTTTTAAATTTATCTACTATTTGTGTCTAGGGAAATTCACGCTTTTATAGATAAGTACCTAATTAATCTATGAAGATAATTAAGAATTTTCTAGTTTTCAATTAGGATAATTTGTTGTTGATTTGTTGATTTTACATTAAAATTATATTTGCGTTTAATTTAAACTCCTAATAATACTGGGTACTCCCAATAATCCCACTTTTGATTTTATAGTATATTTTTGTTTTATCTGAGTCATGAGTCAAATTCAACAACAGTTTTATCTCTCATGCAATGTTATATCTTAAAACATGTAACACTATAAATTTACGCTTTTTAAAATAATTAAATTCATAAGGTCGTTTAGATTGGAGGATTTGGCACAAGGGTGGGGAGACACAAATTACGCTCAAACACAGCTGAAACTATCCTTACTAATATTATAAACGTGAAAATTTGTATGGATGGATGGATGTTTGTTACTCTTTCACACTTTACAATAACATAGCTTATACATCAGAATAACACATAGGCTATAATTTATATACTTACATATTTTTATGTATATTTGTCTTTCTGTCTGAATGTTACGCTTTCAGCCTAATCTACGCATACGTAGTCACGGGCACTAGCTAGTTAAGAGATAAAATCGTACGGCGAAACGTTGCTGGTAAATGGTAAATGTACCATTCAGTACAAAATGTCTTTTCAGTATAAAGAATAATATAGAAAAATATAAATGTAAGTTTCTATACTTCCATCAATTTTGATTTAAATCTCCATCCATCAATTTTGAATCTTATAATAATCTATACTAATATAATAAAGTTGAATAGTTTGTTAATTTGTTTGTTTAAATGCGCTAATCTCTGGATTTGAACAAATCTTTTTTTCATTAGCTATTCCAATTCATAAGGAAGCTTATAGGGCATTTAACATCACGCTACGACCTACGTACCCATTGCGAAACAGAAACCCTTCCCGCGAATGAAATCGCACGGAACAGCTACTTATATATAAATTCTCTTAAGAGTAATTACTCAACAAACAATTGAGTACGAGAGTAAGGCACATTTAGATATTACTTAATTAAGCGTCACTTCGCCAGAGTAGAGCCGCATAAATTGCGTTATTGGATATGGAAAACCTATCGTCGATTGGAAACGGCAGCAAAAATCAACCCGATTTCCGCCAAAAAGAGATGGTGTGATGGATTCTTGGAAAAAATGAAATGAAATGGAATGGATGAATTTTTTTTCCTGGAATAGGGAGGAAATAATGTTAATCAAATCTTATTTGTGATTACTTCCTCAACCGTTCGTGACATATATCAGTTAATGTGTTCTTACACATTCTTATACAGAACACATAATCTAAACCGAAAATACCAGTAGAAGTGTTGAAATTCTGCGTTTCCTCTGGTGAGTGAGGTAGCCGGGGAACACATTATTAAGAGGTGGCAACGCACCTGCAACCCTACGGGTGTTGCAAATGTCCACGGGCAGGCGGTTATCACTTAACATCAGGTGAACCGCCAGCTCGTTTGCCACTTTCTCATAAAAAAAAAACACATTGAAACAAAATATTCACCAGATACAATTAGTAAAATTGACTTATTTAATAATACTTATTACTAATTCATTATTACCATTTGATTGGATGAAACAAAAAAATTATCTATTAAGAAAGCTCTTTAGGTATTGGCGAAAATACCAGACCATATAAGACTCGACACGAACGTAAGAAATAAGTTCCAGTTTCAGTATATTTTTTCCGAAACAACAACTTTTTGATGAAACTGGTTTGGTTAAAAAATTTACAATGAAATTGAAAGAATGGTAGATTATTTTGGAGGAGTTTTATACTGGCTTACGGCATTTATATACTAGTTGTATACTCTGAAATACATACGGCAACATTTGACGGACATAAACAATAGATCGTTAGCAGCTCAATAATTCATATTTGAGCCTTGTGACTAAACTCGTTAACCTCTTAATTGTGTTTTGACACACTATATCGACCACAGGACAAATCTTGTCAACATGAAGTAGTATGGCTTTCTTTCGTTATGTTTATACATACGTCACACTTTTATTTGACAATATGTCGGCGTTTTAACGTAAAAATTGACCACTGAGCAGGCGGTTCAACTGATGTTAAGTGATTACCACCGCCCATAGACATCTCTTAACACCCGACTCCGCTTACCTCATTCACGAAACGTAATAACATAATACTTCTACATTACGCCGGTCTTCTGCGAGACTGTGGTACTTCCCCGGATGGACCAACCCAATCGTGAAATAGCGGAATCTGTTGCATGGCTCTACTACAGAGGCGCTAATATTATTAAAAAAATATCATAAGGGTTAGTTTAGGTTATAGCTTGCAGTTTTAAAGTGAGTTTTACGCTAGTAGTAGATGTAACAAATTTTGCAGGTACATAAGAACTATATAAATGTATATGTAAATACATGGACTGTTCTTCACAGTTTCTTTACTTTCATTTTGTATTGAAAAAAGTTTTTATTTGATTATACTTATACATATATTTCAAATTGATAAGATGATAGAAAAAATTACCAAAGCTTATTTTGTTTTGTCATGATTGTACAGTCTTTCTTCAGTACGACGAAAAGTAAGCAACTGTTGTCATAAGTGTATATACACGTTTCATGTCATAATATCACTGCCCTTCAATAATATGCTATAAAGTAGTTTTAAAGGTTTTATATTTCACCATTTAAGTCAGTAGGACTGACTCATATGAATAATATCATGAACGATCATATATTTTACGATTTTTGCAATTTTAAAGTAATTCGGTTTCCAATTTTCGCTTTTGGTGATAATTCGTAAATTGACAAAATTAAATATTTTAAATTCACGACAATGTAAAAAGGTGAATTTACCTTTGAAGAACTTTTTAAATAATTGTTTACACGTTACAAATTTGATCGTAATAGAAAATGAAACTGATTTTTCCTGTTTGTGTTCCATATTTCGTTTTTGCAGAAAACGTGTAGCAGGTGTTAGTTACTTATACAAATAATTCTATTACGCTCAAAATACTAGTTTTTCCCGGCAATGTTCGGCACAATAGCATAAATTTCTAAAATATGTATTGTATGCGATGTCACTACAAAGTATAAAACAAAGTGGTCTCGATGTCTGTCAATATGTAGTATGCGTAGATCTTTAAAAATACGCAACGGATCTTGATGTGTTTTTTTTACTAGATAGAGTGATTCAAGAGAAAGGTTTATATGTATAATACATGGCAGCCGTGCTAAGCTGGGGCGATTCGCTAGATTTTAAATAAATTACTAAGTTTGTGATAGAAAATTTTAGCGCATTTATAAATTCTCAAATGTTATTAGTGTTGCACCATCGTAAAATAGAAGGTAATTACAAGATTAGAGAAAAAAATACTTTTAATATGATCTTGATAGACCTGTTACGGACATTAACGTACACGCTTTGTTATCATAATTTACGATTGTATGTAAATATAATAAATTATCTTCTCTGCCAAAAAAATAATTTCAGATCTCGACAGTTTCAACAGAAACTAAAAACGCATTACACAATGTCAAAGTATAGAAAAGCCTCCAGCCATCGCTGTTTCACTTCGTGGTTGTCTTCGTGATTTGTCCTTAAATTGTTTGTGTATTTAATTAAATTGTCAATACTTATACAATAAAAATATGTGTGCATCGGCGGAAATGAATGATAAAATATTTTCCAGATTAAATATTAGGGTGATATTTATTTGCCACGCTGTTATTTCAAAGATACCCTCCACTTTTCATTATTCTTGTTCAAATTTAAAGGCACTTACCGCGTACGCCATAACTAACACGCTGTAGATTTATATTACATACCTTTTATCCCGTAAAAATTATAAGACGAAAGTTCTTTGTAGTGGCAATTAAAAAAAACTAATCTTATCTAAAACTCATAACGTGTATCCAGCGTGAGCTGTATAATTATTTTTGTGAATGATATAAGCGTACTGTCAGAAGAAAAACATCACACTCATGTATAGGCAAAATCCGAACCTGCTTTTGATGTGTATGCGAGATGAGTGGAAATTCTAAGCATCGCGGGGAGAGGTCACGGGAGAAGCGATTAGCGGTACGGGCAATGGAAATTTTTGGGACGGAGCGCGTCCGTGCGGCGTCCGCGGCGGGTGCAAGTGGTGGCAGCGTACAGGGGATGCAAGCAGGGCCCGGTGGTGTACGGGCGAGCGGGCCGAGCGCACTCAGTGTCGCTCAAATCGCGGCGCGCGTTGGTCGTGCGTCGGGCGCGCGTGAAGTGATGTCCGCGAGATGAGGCTACCGCTGGTGCTACTGTGGCTGGGCGCGGCGGCGGCGTGCGGCCCCGGCCGCGGCTTCTCCCGCCGCCACGGACCGCGCCGCATCACGCCCCTAGTCTTCCGCCAGCACGACCCCAACATCGGCGAGAACTCCAAGTCCGCCAGCGGGCCCCCCGAGGGCCGCATCACCAGGGACGACGAGAAGTTCAAAGACTTGGTGCCCAACTACAACCCGGACATCGACTTCAAGGACGACGAAGGCACCGGCGCCGACCGCCTCATGACCCCCGTAAGTGCTCAGAGCCCCTTTACTTTTAACCCGCGACCCAGCCGGCAGAAGATCGCGCCGCCCGCGGCAAGGTTTCTAGAAATGTTCAGTCACGGTGGACAGTCGGGGAGTCGTGTCGCGGAACAATGGCGTTCCACGGGCCTCCTCTGTTTTGAAAACAGCTCCTCAGTGCGCGGGTAGGGACAATCGACGGTGTAAACATTACTGTCCGCAGAACAATGGGAACAAATTGCGGGCGTTACGGTAGCTTCGTAGCGAGTGTTACGATTGTAGCACTGCAATTACGCAGGCATCGGAAACAAACGTTTTGTCTCTGTGACTAATGGATGAATGATGAATTCCTTTCAATTTTGATGCCAGTTTTGGTGAATATATGGCCGTCGTAAAGTTGGAGTGAGAAGGTATTCGGAGTCATGCGTTGTCATTCAAGATGTTTTGTATTCGAATAAAGTACTTACGGGAAACTTATTGTGCGTCGTTACTGCATTGTAGTCCGCATTTCTTATGTTGCATCTTTAAATTTTAATAAGCGCGAAGTTAATAAGCTTACTTAAAGAAGCTAAAAATCAAAATTCAATTTGGACGAATATATAAAATCTATTTATAATTCAAATGTCATTTTTAATATAGTTCTCGATACGGACTTTCCGTAGCAGAAACATTTTGAAACAATTTTTACAGTTTATTAGTAAAAACTGACAAAAGTATTTATGACGCACGATAAATTCTACGCATTTAACACATTTCGTTTACATAACATTTATTTGTATTGAATGGGGAATACGTTTTGTGTAACGCTAGCCGAAAAAAATAATGCTATATTAATTGTTTAAATATCCGCTGTACATCGAATTTTGTCAGATTTCCAAACGGTCGGCCAATATTTAACGTTGACGTACATTAGCATAGCAATATAGGGAGGTTTACACAAAGTCGTGGTCGACAAATAAGATTTAGCAGTGCGCACGCACTGCTAAGTCATTGCTAGACAAATTTATAATTATATTGGTGTCATTGCTTCGGTTTATTTATATTTAATATTTACATATCCAACAAAAAATCTGAACAGATGATTGTGCCGATCCAAATCTAAACTAATCTACTTCAAAGGTTTACAAATCCGAAAATAGAAGATTTCAATTCAATTATAACAACTATTACACTTTTTTACAAAGTTACTGTAAACAAAATGAAAAATTTATCAGCAAGTTCGGAAGAACATGAACACCAATTTAACCATCTGCTTCGATGAGATTCGAACCTGGAATGGGTGCAGGAAAGTATTGATTACGCAAGTAATAAATGTACTAGATAACCAAGAACGAACCTGTACAAGCCATTAGATCACAAGCTGCTCTTCAAGCATCTATGCCCTCATATCTATATGCCTATCGTTGAAACTCGTTTCGGTATTGGTTTAAGAGCAGAAATTGGCAGAGCTTTTGATAAGAATGACTTGACCTTCACACCATTCGTACCCTTTTCGGTGCCGAAGAGCCTAGATTTTATATTTCGTTAAGTTATGAAAATTCACATTACAACAAACATAAGTTTTGTTTTTAAAAGATTTTATGTACAATCCTGTACCTTCGTTATATAACTGACAGATGTATTATAATATAATTCATTTGTGTTTGTTATAAAACAAGAGAATCAGTTTGTGACATACATCCGAACATTTATACATTATTACATAGGTATACATTTTCAAGTCGTATAAATTTGTCCTAAATAAGATCGTGCATTGAATGTTTATTCTTTTGAATCGATAAAAAATAAAACATTTAGGTATTTAAAAGGAAATAAAATTGAATATTTGACATTTAAAACATGTTATTAAATAAACTTATGCTTTATTTTAAATAGAAGTAGTTGTATTTGTTTTATCTATCAACATCGCATTTGACCAACGAAAATAATTATGAATGTATATATGACACTATGTGTGTAAAGTTTTATGTATTTTACAACTTTAGTGACTCGTCATTTTAAGCGGCAATTCGGTAAATTCGTCATTTCGCCTTAGTTTTTGTCGGGTTTCAGTCCAACCATCCGTCGGCCTCGCTCTAATGGCTCGACAAACATGGGCGCATGTTGACAAACAAGCAAACATTCGCCATCGCGTTCGCACTATTTCCTTCAGGAAGTAGGTCATTTCGAAATACGACACAGTAATCTCATCTTACGTCCAGATTTCACTGATCAAAGTTCGACAGCTTTGTATTGTGTTCACACCAGAAACATACGTGTAAGTGCATCAGTCACTGTAATGATTTCTGATTTCGATGCTCGAATTCCAAGCGGCTCTGAATATATGGGAGAATACGCGATAATCAAGCCCGTTCTCATTTGTATGATGCCATAATTATTGTTATGTATTAGTATAATATGGTCTATTTTAGGATTACTTACCCTAAGGGTAAAACGTGACCCTATTACTAAGACTCCGCTGTCTGTCTGTCTGTCCGTCTGTCACCAGGCTGTATCACCATGAAACGTGACAGTAAGACAGCTGAAATTTTCACAGATGATTAATTTATGTTGCCGCTATAATAACAAATATCAAAAAAACAGAATAAAAATATTTAAGTGGTGCTCCCGTACAACAGACATAATTTTTTTGCCGTTTTTATAGATAATGATACTACGGAACCCTTCGTGCGGGAGTCCGATTCGCACTTGGCAATTTTTTTTTCGTTTTTTACGTGTAATGGACATATTCGGTTAGAACTTTTGTGAATTTTATACGTCTCAAATTTCTTAAGGTTAATACATTGTAAATTTGATGATCACAGCTGGTGAAACTATTGCCCTATGGAAACTTATAGTGTTAGTTGTAATTTTTGTAATAAACATTAACGTATAAATAAGGTATATGACACATAGCCTGACCTCTTTTAACTTCAATACATCATCTAATTAATCATTTTTAACTGTTAATGTATTTATATCCATAAATAGAGAGTAAATTACTAAATCGTCTTAAAATTTACGGTACCTACCCACGTCATGTGAATAGTGAAAGTTACTTTATTATTTACATAATTATATTCGTGGTCAGTTTTATTTGACGAAACTGACATTCAAATTCCGTATGTTAATTAGATATTAAATTTTATATCTCTATCAATTCAACAAAACTTGAGCTAGGTAAGGATTTTCTATTGTTCTTAACGAACCTCGTTTAATTTGAAAGCGTATTTGTATAAGAAATTTCACGATACGCCATTTTTCCATTCATGTGTTGTGAGATTACCTCTTAATCTGATCTATTGTTTGTTTAATCTCGTAGAAGAGGTGTTAGTTCGAAAGCAATTTTCAGCGCACACAAAAATAGTATTTCTCTTGGCGGGAATGTATCACACACATTGCTTACTTATTTAAATCAAATCTCTTTCAAGTATTACGACATATGGTTTAGTCTACCATGGATTCTGTATTTTAGTTTAATATTTTCAATATAGTTCTTATGTCAGTTGTTATGTTTTCAGTATTCAGTATTCAGTTTTCAGTATTGTCAGTTGTCAGTTCTTATGTTATTTTATCATATTAAAATTTCGTATGTTAACTTTAACCTCTAAAGAATAAAGACAGTTCTTTTAGGATGTAATTTTAATGGTAAATATATCAACTTTAAAAATAAATTATCAAACGGTAAAATAAAGGACACTTACGGAATCTATTCTTTAGTTTCATATTAAATTTCCGATGTTATTTTAATTCTCGGACTAACTGCATTAGAACTTAAAATTTATTTAAATTTATCAGTCCCTTTTTTATTTATTTAAATGTATCCCTTTAATTACCGTCGCAAAAAATCCGTAAATTAGTTTTATTTAACAATGTTATTTTAAGAAAATAATTATTTCGGCTGCTATATAATTTCCAATAAAAATATAACTTTAACATAAGTAAAGTCTCAGTTATGTATGGAGATAGGATGAATTACAAAAATAAATTATTCATAATCACTCATTCACTATTGTAAATATAAAACAATATTCGTTAAAGTATCTTTTTTTTTTAACTTATATCGCATATCACACCGATCGGCAAAAGCGCGGATGTGGATTCAATCATAGTCGCTAATCGACATCGACGTGTTTATCGAAGCCGCTATTTCGGATGCATGTTCGACGCGATATCAATCCGTCGCTGGCTGTTGTAATTGGTTCACTCGGTTTAACCGCCATCAACGCAGCGCACCGCGGCCGTCTGACAACGTCACTGGCAGACATCGGACATGAGCAACCGGGCGCCGTGCAGATATTCCAATAGCCTAATGCCCGCTCGGAATCCAGTTATGTGGCGATGATCGTTGTTATGGCTGCGCAGACAATCGGCCGCGCTGGGCAGAGCGACGCGAATCCGCCGCGGGTAACGTTATGTGCCCGCCGCGGGCAGCACATAGCCGGGCCGGCTCGGGGCCTTGCATTCGTAAAAATCTCCAAACCGGTTCGCTCCTCCATTACTTTCTTTCTGCCTCCACCGTGCCTCCCATTTAACTCGGACCCACTTTTTATCGGGAATCGGTATCTCCACCTAATAGTATTATTTATTTCTCATGAATAAGGGGGAATATACGTGAGGCTAATGCGCACGGGACGCGGCGCGTTACATGCCATGCTTCTGAGATAAACGCCCTGCCTGCTCCATTGGAGGCTGCGTTGGGCAACTGGCGAGGCGACAGCGGGATTTATAACGCTCCCACGAGCTCGTAATCTTCGTTAATGAATTATTGTTTTGATTTATGTTGGACGTTTTTGACTGGCCAAATGTGCATTATCAACCGGTCGGCGAATCGGCTTAAGATCTGAAAATTGAACTTTAGCTTTAATAACGCCATTAAGGTAAGGTTGCACATGCGTAGCGCTTGCGCTGACATAAGAAATACTATTTTTGTAATTTAGAAAAGAAGTGATAGAGTAATAAGATGAGTGAAGTTTATTTCTGAAAATGAGCACTTAAAAACATGTAATTATAAATGTTGTATCGAACAT